AGGCAGCCTCCTTATTTAAGAAGCAGAACTTGGACAGCAAATTAGGTGTTAAAATATTTGCCTACAGCTCTGAGTGTTAAATGTTACCCCACTGCCTGCACTGCAAATATTTTAAACCTGAAGATAAATAGTGGCTGCCTCGAGGAATTTGGGGCCAGCCGTGGGGGCACAAGCGGAGTACCTAATTGGGTTGGTGGGCTCCGTGCCCAGCTTGGCGCAGCCCCTCCCGTCCTCCGACCCGCCAGCCCAGGTGTGCGTGAGAAAGTGTTCACGGAGATGTGTCCTCTCCAAGCAGGACCAGGGCTTTGACCTAGCGCCCAGGTTCCAAAAAAGAGCTTCCTCCCCACTCTGGTCCCCAGGAACGAGCCGCTAGTGAGAGGGTTTGTAGGAAACGGGCCTGCTAGGCTGGAGTGTGCGTTCCCCTTAGAAACAATGTCGCCCCAGGGCAACCGTGTGGGAAACCGTGGACATCCTCCTGGACTGTGTGTTCTGTTTGGAGGCCCCTGCTCCATCCAGGAGACAGCCTGTGCTGAACAGGGGCTTGTGAATCAGAGTGGGCATGTCTGCACTGTGTCCCCGCTGGCTTGCCAGCGCACACCCTGGCCGAGGTCAAGTTGTGCCCTCCAGGAGGTGGGCTTGTAACTTACTCAAGGTCGCAGCGCCCATGCTGGACCTTGGGGGCCGGGATGAGGTCCTTACAAATTCTTTGACACTTGGCTCATTTTTCATTGGGTCACTACAGCAGGGAGACTGCGTACTAGAGTGCTTGGGTCAGACACACGCCCCCCACCTTGACCTTGCTTAAGCTTTGCCACCTCACAGCGCCCTGGCCTCCTCACCTGTAAAATGCGGACTTGACGGTGCTCACCTCTTAGGGCTGCCCGCCGGCTGTGCTCCCAAGGGACCTGGCGTAGGGCAGGTGCTCAGGGTGCCGGCTGCTCGTGGGGGACCCGGAGGCGCGCACCCTGGAAAACAGCTAGGCTGTGAGTTGCCCAGTGTGGAATGTGTTGCCCAGTCCCTTCCCTCTCCGTGCACGTGGCTTGGTCCTTCCCTGGGTGAGCTGCAAGCTGCTCCCGGCCACCCCCAGGAGAACTTGGGTGGGGCCAGAGGGAAAGGTGCCTGTTTGGGGGAAGTTCTCCCCAACCCCCGGGGCTGCAGAAGGTGCTGCTCAGCATCACCTGCCAGGCTCAATTCCAAGCTTGGCTTTGGGTGACCCTCAGAGCCTCCGTATTCTCATCCGCAAATAGAAAAATCGCCCCATTTACTGCCCTTCTCTATTGGGAGGCTCAGAGACCACCGGCCCGAATGCCTGCCCTGAGTCGAGGCCTCCCAGCCCCGACCGCCTCCTGTTCCCCAGGTCCCGATGGTGCTGATGAAGCGCAGGGCCCTGAGGGACTGCATCTTCGGGGTTGTCCTGCTCCCCCAAACTTCTTCAGGCCACCGAGTCTTCCTTCTCTGGCTTCCTGAGGGTCAGGCTGGCTGGCCGAGTGACCCCATGGGACCTCAGATGGTGAAGTCCCTTCCTCTGCCCACCTCCCCTCTCTCCCCCTGCTCCGCGAAGCCACCTTGCCTTCCCATTAGTAGACAGCGGCAGGGGAGGTGACAGTTCCTTAAAACAGATTTATACTCTTGGATGACTTTATGGGGTTTTGACTTATAAAACCCAAGAGGTGACACTGATTTATCTCCTCCTGAGTCAACAGGATGTACCGGACTTAAAGAGAGCTCTGTAGTGTTTGTGGTTCCTGTTGTGGGTGAGATGAGCTCTTACAGAAAGTGCTGCCAAGTAAATATGGAATATAAAAGAAGGATAACAGGGGGATAATTTAAATATGTCTATTAACTTGTGTGTTAAATAAAGTCGCACAAGCGCGGTGCTGAACGTAACGGAGCATCTGGAGAGTGGGTGTAGAAGATAAAGCCGGAGTTACGGAGCTTTTCCCTCCCCTTCAGAACATTTTTATTAAGGAAGAAACTGTAAACCAGGAACCTCAGAGCCGAGCTGGACAGTGTAACCACGGTTGTGTGGTGACTTACAATATCGAAGGCTCCCCGTGATATTTCTCATTTCTTTGCTTTCTATTTCTTGCCGTCGCCAGAGCAGCAGATCCGATTTCCGGAGATAAATATGCTGCCTGGCTTTTAATGGGATTTCTGTATTGCCAGGAGTTGGCGTGTTCTGATAAAAAAAAAAGAACCTAAAAGTTGTACATCCCTTAATTGGTAAGAAGAGAGATGTTTTGATGGGCCACCAATGGAAACATTGATTTTTACTGCCTCCGCGCTGTTCCAAGCAGCATTGGGCCACGTTCCCCGCCACTGAAGGTGGCAGCTGGCTCTCCGATGAGCTGATTTGTGTTCACGGGCTCTTGGTGTCGGATGCTTGGAAGTGTGTGTGCTGTGCAGACAGGAGCCGCAGAGCCCTTACACCATTATCTGTTTCTAAATTGGTATATTTATAGGACTGTGGCTTTCGCCTCGAGTCGAATGCATTATCTTCATTCCCCTTGTTTGCTTTGGTGACCAGCCCTCGGGGGCTTAAAGGTTGTGTGCTGAAACCTTTTGCGGTAACTGCAGTGTTACGTGTGACACACGCTGCACACACACTCCTTTGCATACGTAGATATGTTTGCATCAGTATCTGCACATAATAGCGATTTCTCTCTTCAATTTAAATCAGTGCTAGTTTTTGGACGGTAGGTCTGGTTTCCAGGACCGACTGTGGGAAGAGACACCACGCACTTTGATTTTCTAGTCTGAGTCTCTGTATTTTAATGGGCAAGTTTAGCCCACTGACATTTATTGGGATTAGTGATATATTCTGTGTTACACATGCTTATTTTGCACTTTGATTTACAAGTCCTGTTGATCTCTCAGCTGCAGGCTGTGTGCATTCCCCCAGCTGTGCAGGGAAGTGCGCTAGACGGGGCAGCATGTCCAGGGAATCACCTGTAGGGTTCTGGGGATGTTGCAGTCCCCTGGCTGGATGCCAGGCGCCTTACCTGTGACATGGGAATAGCAAAGCTGCCCCTCTGTGGGCAGGGACAGGACCATATGACGGCTTCTGAAAAAGTGCAGAATGCGACACCAACCCAAGACATCACTGTCCTGATCATTAACACTTTTCTGTACAGATCAGGCACTTGCCTGCACAGAGCTAAGTGGAGAGTAGGCATTTTATTTGAAAGAAATTGGTCGAATGATTCGAAGGCTGGCTCTCCCTTTCTAAACTGAGATCAGGGCACGAGTGGAGGCTCAGGTGCATTTTAAACTTGTGATTTGACTGTCCGTGGTCCTGCCAGCACGTGTCCTGTCTGGATTCCAGAGTCGTCCGACGTCTATGCAGAGAGCTGAGCCAGCATCAGCACATTTTGAGGCTTGTGTAGAGGATGAACTTGGCTACAAGGTCTCCCAGCTCGAAATCGCAAGGCTTTGGGGGAAATGAAACGTTTCAGTGCATTAGGAACAGCTGACGGGGGCTCTGGAGCAATGTGTAAGAGAATGAGGTTTTAGGAGACAAATGCTAAGGCACTGTCACCTCTCTGATGGGTCACAACCCCCAGCATCCATGCACAGAGGGAAAGTGACAGGAAATCCCCATAGAAGATTTGCACCAAGAATTAAAGCATCTAGTTGAGAATTACAGCACCACATGCTGCAACGCCGCCCCCCCCCATATATTAATATACCGAGAGGTGTCCAGAATAAGGGACCCTGGGAGGTAGAGTAATTAAATGTATCTTAATAAACGCTGGGCGATTCTTTTCAAACCCTTTCCCGAGACCCCGTCAGCTCACGTGGACTGTATTCTTCCTGTTGGCAGGAGGCCTGGAAGGAGAGCCCGAGTGTGACCAGAAGGCCAGCCGGGCGCTGGAGGACAGGAACAGCGTGACAAGTCAAGAGGAGAGAAATGAGGACGATGAAGACATGGAGGATGAGTCTATTTACACCTGCGATCACTGTCAGCAGGACTTCGAGTCTCTGGCAGACCTGACGGACCACCGGGCCCACCGCTGTCCTGGAGGTACGCTAAACAGCGCCGGGCTCTGACAGGTGGTTACGCGGGTAATTGGACATAGCAACAGCTTGAAGCCTCAAGTGAGATTAAAGAATTAATAATGTAATTTTACAGTTAATGTCATTTTATTGTGGTGTCTTGGGTACCCTGCATTCGCCTTTTAAATAATTAAAAATAAAAGCGACAGCTTTCTGGCCGGCGGGAACAGGGGGGAGGCTCTGCCTCTCTGCTCCCCCAGTCCGTACTCCGTA